GGTATCCCATCGGTTTTCGAAGTGTCCCAGGAGGTGGGAAAAATTGCGAAGAAAAAAAAAGAGAGATCTGAGAATATATTTGGGGAAAAATGCGGAAAAATGCAGAAATTTCGGAAAAAAGACAGAAAATTATCATGCAGATCGATAATGCAAACGACTTACACAAGACCACATGCAGACTCATTTTCGCATCTCACAACGGACAGAAGAAGAAGGGGGTTTGGGGGGACGGGGGGGAAGGAAAGAAGGAAACAGGGAGGGAAGACAGCGACTGCGATAAAGGTCAAGGTCAAGAAAGGCGACGGAAGGCGCTCGGAGACCGGACCTCATCGTGCATCTGCCGCGACAGCTCCTCCAGCTTGTTCCGTGCCGTCTCCAGGCTCTTCCGCTCCACGTGGTTGTAGGGCGTGTGGGCGAGGACCTCGTGCAGCGTGATTATGTAGCGGGGGATCTGGGCGCGAGAGAAACGAAGCCTTCCTTTCAAGCTTTTCCGTTTTCTTCTTTTCTATATATTTTTTTCATGCATTATTTTTATGGTTTATTTTCTTTGAAGTACTTTTTTTAAGGGGTCGATATTATGAATGAAAATGATGATACAAAGAGAAAATACGAAGTGTTTTTCCGAAAATCTCCGGGACAATTTCACGAGTCACCCCAAACTCAATATAATCCTTAAGGTGCAACTAATTGCCGTCCAATTACAGGGGGAACGAAGGAAGAGCGAAATCCCGTTCGAAGAACCGACCCCGCCCCGGAATTAAAACCCAGCCCCACCCTTCCGGCCCTCGAACCGAGATATATTGGGAACAATTTTTTTTCCCTTACCTGATGCATGGGGTAGATGAGGAACGTCTCCAAGGACCGGCCCTGGCAAGCGGGTTTGTCCTCGAGGCGGTTCAGCAGGGCTACGAATTGAGTGTTCTGCTTGCATTCCGTGAGGACCTGGAGGCTGTAATGGTGGTTCCTCACGTATTCCTGATAGATGGCTAGCATCGGCAACAGCATGTCGAACAGGTCGCCTATCGCGGGAACAAACGGATCGAATCAAAAGGTAAATGCATGTACGACATATGAGTCACGGCATAGATTCTACGGAATAGAGCCTATGGCATTGAATCCATAGAAGAGCAATGTTCTAACCGAGAACCAGAGTCGGCCAGTTCTCCATTCGCGCCGTGAGTCCTTTGAGGAAAATCTGGTGGAGGAAGAGCATGGTTTCACTGTTGAGGAAGATAGAGTTGACGTCCTCGTGGTTGCACGGCGGCTTCTTGGAGCACGCGACCATCTTGAAGGGACGAAGGAAGCAGGAGACGAGGATCTCCAGCTGACTCACGTACTCCTCCTCGGCCTCGACCATCCGGAACACGAGGCTGAGATCGGAGGCCAGAAGGTCACATTTCGAACGCATAAAATATGCATGAGGGGATCGTGGGGGGAAGACGGCTGAACAATTCACTAATTGGCCGGGAAGTCGATGGGGTCGATGCTTCCTGGGGTTCTCGTTGGGGCATTTTTCGAGCGTCGGGCCGTTGCAATATTGATGAGGGGGCCTCGCGAAGGCGAGAGGTATTTGTACGTTTGAGGGAAGGGGTGGAACCGTATTTGCCCAACATACCACGCCACTCACATCAACGATCATTAGGAAAGCAATAACAGTAATTTACGCATCTCGTCCCTCACGAAACGGATTAATGCGTACTCCCCTTCTCCTAATGGCAGCTCGCTTCATCGGCTCATTTCATCTGAGGGATCGAGAAGTGAAATCCCTTTGATGCGGGCTTGCCCGCTGCTCCTTCGGGTCCGTCCGTCTCGTCTCCCTAACAGGCTGCGAATGATCCCCGCGGGGTGCACGCATTCTACTCCCTCCGTGAGTGACGTCACCGCTGACGGACTCCTTGATTGGTTGCTCGCCGCAGAGCATGACCAATCATATCGTTCGTCAGCCTTCGTCATCCATTCACCACCCGTTTGAGAGGATCTTGTTCTTAATGGCTAACCTGTTGCGCTTCCTCATGCTTTCGGCGTGTGGGGAATGGATGTATTCCTCGACGATCTGCTTCCAGCGTCGGCGACAGAGCCAGCCTCGGAAGAAACTCTGGACTTTCTTGATCTTTCGGATCTCTTCCGACTCTTCCGGTCCTTCCTCCTGACTCGACCCCTCCACGAGCGCCAATTTTGGACCTGGCAAGAGCTTCGCGTCCCGCTTCAGCGCGAACAGCTTGAAAAAAAAGGAAAACATTTTTAGCCACGAGGTAAATCATCAACTTTCCAATATCTTTAAATTTTCAGTGTTTTGAAATGCACCTCGGAGCGAAGATTCCGGACTTCGTTCACGAGTTCGTCGCACTGCTGAGTATATTGCCATTTTGCAGTTTTC